AGAGACAGGGATCTGCTGCTTTGTAGTGTTTGGAGGAGCAACTCTTAAAGAAAGCCCAGCTATAAGTACTCATGCCACTGTTTGCCATCCCTGCCAGCTTTGCACGTGGAAGAGACTGGAGACTGTGTGGGAGGAGATTAAAAAACTCGAAGCTAAGAAAGAGGAAGTCTCCAGTCAAGTGAAATATCTTGTGGTGAGTCTACACAGTGGCACCCACCCTACCCCCCCCCAATAAAAATACACACAAGGTGCAGAATTTATCTGAGAAGCATCTCTAATGGAAAGAACGTGAACATCTTATTCAGTAGACCCTTGCTTAATGTGCCTGGGATGAATCAGCAGAAAACTGCCATCTATTCACGGTCATGAATGACTTCTGACCCCTTTGATAAGGTGCCTGTGTATGTAGAATCATAGACATATAGGACTGGAAGAGACCTTGGCAAACATCCTGGACCGCTGGGGATAGGAGAGTGAACCAAACATCCGGTTTGGAGCTCCCTGGATCTAGAGCCTGGATTCAGAAGTTGACGAGAACCTTTATCATTCCCATTCCACATGGGGTAGTGGGTTGTTCTGGTCTTATCTGCACATCAGAAACTGAAGGCTAAAACCACCATGCGGGAGTCAGAGCTCATTTTCCCCTCCCATCACTGTTTCCTGATTGCTCTAGAGATACCAGCTTTGTTTCAGTGCTGGGTAAACTGTACTCAGAGAGAGTCTGTCGCTTGCATTTTGCCAGAACACGAAGGACTGGAACCAGGGCCAACTCCTATTGGCAAAACTTCCGTTGACTTCAGTGGGTACATCTTTCAGCATGCCACTGCAGGGTCTCATGGGTTGCCATGGCAGCTCAAAACGTACAACTTTGATTTTTAAATGTTGTTTTTTAATCTACTTGCTGCTTGTGGGGTTTCTGCTTTACTCAAAGTGCCGCTTGTGCGTATTTTGTTTGGGATTTGTTCCTTTGGCTCATCCCTTGCCCAGCATGGCTGCTGAGTCCTGCCAGCCGCTGCTTTCTAGCCCAACCCTGACAGGTTTTGTGTTACTTTTAGATCCATTTCACTCGGGTGGGTCTTTGAAAAATTGGGCAGCCAAATGCCTTTGGGCCTGATTCTCCCCTCACACAGGTGCAAAACTGAGGTGACCACATGGAAGTGGGTGAAGTTACACTGGTATAAAATTGAGATAAGTTGGCAGAGAATGAGGTGCATTGCTGATTTACTCCCAGGCCCTGGGGTGATACTTGCTGCTGTACCACAGGCTGCTTGCTTCCCCCATGCTTCCAAACAGCTCCAGGTGCCAAACGGTCTTTCCATATTTACACACATGCACCCCCACTGCTTGTGGCTTCTAATAGACACTGTCATTTTCTCTCCTCATAGATGCTCGGTTTGACAGTCTGATCCCATAAGAGAGCAGATGTGGGGGAGCTGCGAGGTTTCTCGTTTTCATACTGTCCAGACACCTCGTTTTATTTTCTCTAGACCAAACCGTCAGCAAGGAAATAACTCTTACTCCCTCCTCTTGTTCTTTTCTTCCTCCTAGGAAACCCAGGACGAGAGTTCACTGCAGTCGGTAAGAGCCAGATTTTGCTAATGTAACAATCTGGGAGCAGAAGGAATCATTAAGTGCAGGATCATCCCTTGGACAGCCTGGGGCAACCCCCTGTGTTCCACATGTGGTGCTTGAGGAGGTCCAACCCCTTTCTGCCTTTGCTCTGCCCACCCTCCCCCAATCCCCCCCTTTCCCCAGGCTCCACCCCTGTTCTGCCCACTCCTAGCCTCATTGTACCTCTTGCCTGAAACCCCCTCCCCTGAGTGTCACAAGCCAGGGGTAGCCGGAAACAAGGAGCAGAGGGTATGAAAATATCAAAGGGAAAAACAAGTAGGCAGAGCTGGTAGCCTATAAGCACCTAAAGATTGGATCGTTAAAAGAAGCAGATATGGATCATAGGATAGCAATAGAGGGGAAGGGTACTAACGGAAGAATCTACACAAAGGGCTGTTGGCACTTCATTGAGGCTACGTCTGCACTACAGGCTTCTTGTGCAAGAAGCCTTTTGCACTAGAGGTTTTGCATAAAAACTTCTTGTGCAAGAGCACATCCACACCTCAGAGCACATCGCAAAAGCCATGTGCTTTTGCACAAGAGAGCGCCCACGCTGCTGGACGCTCTTGCACAAGAAAGCTCTGATGGCCAGCAGAGCACCAGTGCTTTTTTACATAGGCATTTCTTGCGCATCCACACTTGCCTTCTTGCGCAATAGCTGTAGCGCTAAAAGCAGTTATGCCTCAGAAAAGGAGGTCTACCTATGGCAGAAAAAGCCCTCTGTTCTGCCGTTTAACTGCCCATTTAATTGCACAAGAGCACGTTTGAGGTGTGGACGCTCCACAGGTTTTTGCGCAAAAGCCTTGTATTGTAGACGTAGCTTGTATGTTAGGTTGATAATGTCCCAGCCATCCGTTATCTCGATTGAGGTCATCAGCGTGAGAATTGACTTTGTGGTTGAATTGTAATTCCAACGCCTCTCTGTGTATTTGGCTTGTAGAATTGGTTTGTGACAATTCTACAAGCCAAATAAACCTTTTTAAAGAGGGATTAAGTAGCTTTTCTCCAAAGGAGCCGATGTTACCTCCTCCTAGTGGTGGTTGATGATACTGCAAGGTTTGCAGTTGAAGGAGGCAGTGGGGAAAAAAAGCTTGCAGGATACGCGTTGTTTGGAAGGCCTTGTAATCCTCAGAGGCATTTGGGTAGTGAACCACAAAGTGCAGCCGAGAACATGGTCCTGGGACTCCATGGCATGCCAAGCCAGCTCCTTTTTAATCCTGGATCTGCCAAAGACTCACTCCTTACTCTGTGCTCACCTGCCCCCCAAACAGCTTCCCGATTACCACGCGCTGCGGGGCCAGGGTCGGGAAATACGGCGCCAGCTCAACTCCCTGTACCGGGAAGAGGTGGAACTGGATGAAAAATACTATCTGAAGGCTCTGAAGCTGCCTAACCAGACACACCCTGATGTGGTAAGCAGGGGCTGTCACATCACGGGACAGAGGGTTGCTATGCAGGTGCCCAGCAGTCACCTGAGACACTGGGGGGCTCAATTTATGATAGAAAACTATATAAACCCAGCCGAGAGCTAGGTCCAGCTAAGGGCCTGGCTGTGGATTTAATCTCCTGAGTGTTACGTGGCTATATGGGACTCTCCCCTTATTCAGCCAAGTCGTCGTCCTGGGGCTTTGATTAAACAGCTGCTCTGAGTGCAGAGAAGAGCCACCAAAGGGATCCCAGGGCTGTGAGAGATGCAAGTGTATTCACTGTCCCAAAGGGAAGATCTAGAGATGCCTGGGTTACTGGGTCTAAGTACCTTCCCAGGGAGCAAAAGGCCACGTGTGAGAAAATTCTCTGCTCATGAAAACAGAGTCTGGGAAGTTAAAGCCAGAGCAAGCCCAGTTAGAAAGAGGGGGGTAGGGTCAGACTAGATGATCTAATGGGCCTTTGTTCTGGCCTTAACGTTTCATTTGTCTAGCTCCCATCCCCCCTCCATACGCTCTCTAAGGGGAGTGCTGCCCCTTGCATAGACCCGGCCTGCCGCTGTTTCGAAGGGTGTGGTGTATGGGTAGCTCTAACCACTAGACCCTGCTCCCCTCCCATTAGATGTATTGATTTGGGCCCAGCTCCCCACCTTTACCAATACTGCTCGTCCACAGACCCTGGAGAGGCGGATCAGGAAGTCTGGTCTCTGCCCAAAGCCAGGAGGGGAAAACAGGGCGGGGGAGGGCCCAGCTACTCATGCTTAGGGCTTGTCTATTGTGAAAAAGCTGATACGCGGGGCTGACTGACCCGAAGGGGTGTGCCTACACCGCCTGTGCGCCCGGCTAGATCTCCCCTGCAGATGGGTGTGCTGCCCTATGGGGAAGCATTTTGCTGCTGCACACCTAGCCTTGTGGGACTTCTCTCGCGCTGCCCTTAGAACTGTGGGACCTGGAGTCGGACTCCCACAGGAAATGTAGTTGTTCCACGAGGGGCGCTGTGGCCTGGGGCCAGGTCGGAGGGAGACAGATCCAGGTAAAGCGGGGGCTTGCTGTGTCACTTTTCGAGGGTGCCTTTCTCCAGCCTTTGGGGCAGTACTGTGACCTTTGACCTTTCCTTCCTCCAGCCCATTGGCGATGAGAGCCAGGCGAGGGTGCTGGAGGTCATGGGAGAGAAACCAGGTAATGGACAGATTCGCGGGGCGGGGGCGGGGGGGTCGCGTGTGCTGGCTGCAAAGCCATCGAGCCCAAGGAAAGCCATGGACTGAGCCCTCGCTGCTCATTGGCTGGGCGGGGGTTAGCAGGGAGCTGGTACCTCGCAGTCAGCGGAAAGATGTTCGTTGATTTCAGCGGCAGTGGGACAAGGGATGCGCAGGCCCCGCCTGCCGTCTCCAAAGCTGCCTTGGAGGTGGGGAAAGCCAGGCATTGTTCCCAGAAGCCGGGGGTGGGCAATTACTTTTACCAGAGGCCGCTTCAGAAAGTTTTGAAGTGGCCCCAGGCCGCACCGGAAGGGGCAGGGTCTCAAGTGGAAGGGCGGGGCCAGGATACTTCCCTGCTTCCTCACCCACAGACCATGATTAGTCTGGGGGTGAGGGAGCGCCTCCCCCTCCCCCGAGGTTCGCCCTTGGCCCCCATGCCCCTGGTGGTGCGAGGAGACTTCGTGTGCTCCCCCTTCTGCCCCCAGGCCAATCAGTCGATGCCCCTGCCGAGTTCAAGGTCTGTGGCATCTGGGCGGGGAAGGATCCCATGGAGCTGCAACGTGCTTCTTGGGACACATTGTAGCATTCACCTTTTGTTTCAGCTTTTGATTTTAGGGTGAGGGGGCATCTGGAAATCGGAGAGGAGCTGGATATCATCAGACAAAAGTAAGATGAGGAGCAAAGGGGTTAGAATCAGGGCTCCGGTACCCTGAATTTTGGATTGAAATCGGATAGCAAGGCTTGCCTGAGAACAACCTCTGGTCCCTCCACGTTCCATGCTACAGAGTTCCCTTAAATTTGCCAGGAAAATGATCTTGATGCATCTTCCCCCCGCTGCCCCAAACGGGGGACACATGGAGATGAATTAACCTCTCCTTTCCCCAAAGCAGGGGCTGCTCTGGAGTGGTCCCTCCGCTCACCGCCCCACCCCCTTTGATCGCTTCACAGCACGTTTAACGGGTTAACCAATTAAATGGGGTTTTACGTCCCTCATTTGAATCGAAGGGCTGAGCTGCCTGGGCCAATAGACAGGTTGGGCTGCAGCAGGGTAATCGACCGGCACAGCGAGGGCTACAGCAGCCCCTTGTTGACAAGCCTGGCGTTTGGGTGGAGACGTTCCGGGCTAAATCTCCGGGCAGGGAGAGACTAGCTGCTGGGTTAGATGGCTCCGGATGCCGTTCACTTCAGAGACTGTTCGCTAGAGCCCGACCCAGGGTACTGGAGTCTGGGGACAGGGGCCTGTTGATTGGATCATCCCTACGTTGAGCGGGGATGTCTCTCTGACCACTGCTCTAGCAGCTGAGATGAGGCGGCTCCCAGAAGCCACCAATCACGCGTAAATGTCACCCGCCTGCCCGCCGTCAGGCAGAGCCGTCTTCCCTCTTGTGTGCGGCGCACAGGGAGAGCCATGAGCTCTCTGGCCTGGTGGCAGATGGCTGCTGGGGGAGCAAGTCGGCTGCTGCGGCCCCCGGGAGGCAGCCGGGTGGGAAGGGACCGCAGTGCTGCCCTGGCAGCTCCAACCAGCCACGGGTCTGGAGCTTTCATGCCCACGTGCAGCCCCCGGGCCATGTGTGTTATGTGGCCCCTGTTTGCAGGGAACATGAGTCTCCAGCCCGGCCTGGTGCAGCTGGTGACTTTAGCTCCCTGGGGGCCTGGGCCAGCCTGCAGGGCACCTCCCAGAGGGCGGCTGTCAGGCACAGTGCTGCCCTGGCAGCTCCAACCAGCCACGGGTCTGGAGCTTTCATGCCCACGTGCAGCCCCCGGGCCATGTGTGTTATGTGGCCCCTGTTTGCAGGGAACATGAGTCTCCAGCCCGGCCTGGTGCAGCTGGTGACTTTAGCTCCCTGGGGGCCTGGGCCAGCCTGCAGGGCACCTCCCAGAGGGCGGCTGTCAGGCACTGGTTCGTGGGAACCTACCTCTGGCCTTTTTGGTGGTTCACACCGTTAAGTGTGATCTGATCCGGCTGGGCTGGGGCCGGCAGCTATCAGCTGACATGTTCCTGGAAGGTCTAGTGAAGGGAGCCGTGACTCAAAGCCAGATACAGGTCCAGGAGAGGGGCGTGGGATCTAGTGGTTAGAGCCAGGGAATGGGGTGGGGACTCAGGCTCCCCTGTTTCAGTTTCTGCCCCGCTGTGTGGGTTGTGAGCCAGTCCCTTCATCTCTCTCTCTCTCAGTTCCCTGCTGTCTGTGAAATGGCAGGGATCTCGACTTTCATAGCCCTGAATCAGCCCTTCTAGAAACCCTGCCCTTGAGCAGCTGGGGCGGCTGCTTCTCGCTACGTCCCAGGTGGGGAAACTGAGGCCCAGAGCGAGGCGGTGACTTGACTGACATGTCTAGAGGCTAGACCGAGACTAGAAGCCAGGAACCCTGATACCCAGTCCCCCGCCCTAACCACGTCAAAGTGGGGAGAGGACCTGCCTGGCCTTCCGGGCATGCTCCGACAGGCGTGTCGCTTTGTCGCCAGTGTCAGAGGCAGCAGTAAAAGGATCCGCCATCTGCTGTTTCTGGAGGCCTGAGGGGGTGAGCGGCAGACCAGCTGCTGCTCTCAGTGCCCATTAGCTGATTGTACCGCCCCTGGCCCGCTGCAGAATGGAGGGGCTGTAAATGTGCGTGTGCTGCCTTTTCTTCTCCCTGCTGTCTGGCTGTGGGCTTCGGGCGCTTTCCGACATCAGGCGTGCCTCCCCACTCCCCCGCTGCCCCCTGGTGTGGGCGACGGCTTGTCATGGAAAAAGGCTCCTTTCTTCAGGTCCATGCGAGCATCACGGGCCGGGTCGCCGAAACCATCTGGCTCGGTCAATTTCACTCCCCCTCCCAAGTGCTCCTGTGGCTACAGGAAGGTGGGAGGCAGGGGAATGACTCCTCTAACTGGGGTGCGTGTGCAGAGCAGGCCCCACAAGGCCGGATTTCCTGTACCCCCCGTTCTCGGCACTGCCACGGAGCGATGGCTGGTGGTGTGAATCCCCGTAACCGTGTGCATCTCGATTCCATCGCCCCTCGTGTCTTCCTAGGCTCCTCTTCAGAAGGCACCACTGGGATTATCTCGTCCAGCCTCCGGTCGATCCCTTAGCAAAGCCTCCGTGCTCACCTGAAACATTGCCCCTGGTGGAAAATTGCCCCCTCCCCGGGTCAATTGTTCCAGTGATGAATTCCGCTCGCTGTTAAATTTGCACCTTGTTTCCTCTCTGACTTTGTCTAGCGTCACCTTCTAGCTGCTACCTCACGTTCGGCCTTTCTCAGCTCGATGGAAGAGCCCGTTAGTAAATGTGTTCCCCGCAGAGGCGCCTACCGACTGACCAAGCTGCACCAAAACCTCTGTTACGCTGTATAGATTGTTGCCCTAAGGCAGGGTTTCCAGGCCCTTCCCTTCCCTGCTCTCCTGGCCCTTCCCTTCCCTGGCCCAGGGAGCTGCCCACTCTGTACCGGTACCTTGCGGCCCCCCACCCTTGAATCGCGATTGATTCTCTGGAGTGCCTCACGAACCCCCGGTGAGGTAGGACGGAGCTGAGATGCAGATGGGGAAACTGAGGCACAGGGCGATGCAGTGAGGTGGCCACAATGGCACAGGGAGTTAGCCCAGAGCTGGGTTCCAGTGAGCGATGTGTCCACTGCACATCCTTTGGGAAGCAGCCCCCCATGCTTGAGATTCTCGCCCTCCCTCTCCCCATGCAGGCGCCTCTCCCACATCTCAGGCCACCGCTCCTATTACCTGCGTGGGGCTGGAGCACTGCTGCAGCAGGCCCTCGTGCAGTTCACCCTCAGCAAGCTGGTGAAACAGGTACGGCCGCGAGACGGAGGCAAATCCCCTGTACAGAGCTAACCGGGGACATGCTCTGCTTAGTGGGTTCACCCGGATCCGCGGGTGGGGCTGCTCGGGCCGGGCTGCCAGTTAACGGGTTACCCCGGTAAGCATGCTGGTAAGCCCTTCCATCCCTAGCATGGGGCGGCACGATCTAATGGTAGCTGTGGGGGGGGGTGTTTCTAGGCTTAGAACAGCGTGGGGCTCCTGCGCTCTGGTCCTGGCCTTGCAGGGACGGTAGTGGGATCTAGCAGTTAGAGCAGAGCGCCAGATCTGGGTTCTGTTTCCAGCTGTGAAAGGGGAGGGTGGAGGGGTCCAGAGGTCAGAGCGGCGAGGGGTCAGGACTCCTGGTTCTGCTCTAGACGCTGCCACCGACTGGCAATCTGGGTTCTGTTTCCAGCTGTGAAAGGGGAGGGTGGAGGGGTCCAGAGGTCAGAGCGGCGAGGGGTCAGGACTCCTGGTTCTGCTCTAGACGCTGCCACCGACTGGCACGTGGCCGAGGGGTGTCAGGGACCCGGCATGGCGGTTTCAGCCCTGACGTGCGGGTGCGGGTATGTGCCCAGCCAGCGGCATCGGTAACTGTTCAGCAGCAGCTGCCGGATGGACCCTGTGCCCTGCATTTGGTGGGTCTCGGGCCCCTCCCAGTGCCCCTAGTATTTGACCCCCTTGGGGCCGGGCACTGAATGGGGCCAGGGAGCCCCATCTCCTCTGCCCCACAGCCCCGGTCACGCTGGCAGGAGGGGCCACTGCTGAGCGCTGGCCTGTTGGGTCTTCTCTCTCCCTGCCCAGGGCTTCATCCCAATGGCAGTTCCTGACCTGCTGCGAGGAGCCGTGTTTGTAAGTGCCCGGGGGCTGGAGCCCCGGCCC